AAAATCAGATATTCAATACAAACACAAGACAATGTGGAACACCTATATTCTGTGTCTATTTCCAAATTTGATTCCTGTATATGCTATCAAAATAGGGGAATGACTGTATTCAAGCATCTTCCTACGCCTATTTTTCGGCCAGGAATAATGGTGGGCATGAAAGGTGTTCTGTGAAAGTCTGATAAGTGACGTTACTTGAAGATCGATATTCATTAAGCTTAACAGTTCAGTGAACTCAAACATTATTTCCACTAAACTACCAAACTGCATTTCATTTCACTAAATTGGCATATATAGTTAGGGATCGTTAGGTTTGTAATTTTACCAGGTAAAACAACTCAATGTTGGTGACTAGGGATCGTATATATGTCCCCTGAATGCGCTGTATCAAATCTGAATTTGTGAGTAATCCAGATTAGACTGTCACAATATCCCATCATTATACAATTCGTCAACCATAGTAAAAACAGAAATCTCGCTACCCAATCCTATTGTGAAATTACCTTGTCAGACTGATAAATCTAAACTCCTAGGTACTCCAAAGAAGCTTAAAAGATTCTATTACAACTTATCTTTCTCAGCATTTTAGTTTAATGAGTACAGACACGGATTAATGCCAACCATCGATGTGTAACGTTTTGCAAATGAGCACCAATCCAAAAAGCAAGTTCTATCTATGCTATCGCATTCCTTGATTCTCAAGACTCAGAATTGGAGTTATCGTTCGGAGACCTACACAAAATCTAGTAAAAAAGCCTACCAGAAGATAAATCCAGTCAGTATCAGTAACATAGGACTATCGCGTTTGACTGATACTTTTTCCATCTGAAACTGTAACATCTAATGTGGTATTTTACATAAAAAAAGTAGTGTTCGATATCTGAGTTAACAATGAACCTCTCATCATACCCTAATAAATAAAGGGAACAGAAGTAAACAGAACAAAACATTGAAATTAATGGACTCTTATATTCTATAATACGACTAAGTTTATAGAATCTCCTCACACTAATTCGTTCACATTATGCGAGACAATGCAAAGGAATCTGCCACCAATCAGTCAACTTCTCATCCCTCTGAAACTTTCTTGATCGATTGATTGGCATTCATTCGTGACTGTATATAAAAAAGTCAAATGAGTCTATATAGTGTCGGCGAAAGATGTTTCCTGATTAATTCATGTACATTTATCCTGCTTTTCAGCAGAGATAATTCCCGAATCGAGTAGCGTTTATGCGAATAAAAATAGATTCTTATGAATACCAAAAATACGATAGATCGGCAGACATATGTCAAACTCTAATAATCCAGAGAATTTGCTGACGTTTGCTCGTACAGCTTATTTGTCACATGTCATTGTAAAGAAACTCCGGAAATTTTACCACAAATCAACCTCCACGGTATCCTACCATATCAGTGAAGAATAGACAGAGGTTAGAAGTAGCCAACAATAAGCACCATTTTAACTAGAGAGCGCCAACATAAGTATTGAACAAACCAACTATTACTATTCAACCTTCTACACATGTCATCAATATCAAAGTGACACCGTCAACTGGTTAAAAATCCTATTGAAATCGCTGTACAAATCTTTTGTTTTCCACTCAGTTTGTATCATTAAAATGGGTTTCAGTGAAGATATTTCCCGAAAGCCCCAGTCGATATGATTCATTCACCAACCGGTTTGCCATCTTTATAAAGTACTGTATCTAGCCTTAGAATTACACTTTCGGTGGCCCCAAAGTATGTGAGCAATACTTCGAAAATACTTGTGATTGAATACCAGTAGTTTACGAATATTCTCTATTTTTAAAGGCCGCGTTTCATAACCACCGAGTAAAACAGATCATACAGGCGTTGACGCAGGCTAGTTTGTTCTAAAGTCACACTAAATATTTAGCGGGAGAGAAAAGCTTGCATTTTCACACAAGGAGAGCAGAAAACTCAGTATATTGTCAGCATTCTTAACAAGCACAACTATGTTAAAACAATTAGTCCCTTTGATAAATTTCGATAATGCAATGAGACGACGAAGTTTATCATTCTCATAAACTTCGTCGTCTCATTGCATTATCGAAAGAACTATGTTATCTGCATATTCTAAGCTAACAATTGATTTCCATAATAAGGAATCAATTTCCCAAAAAGTTAGATGATGAGAAGATTATCTCTAATAATTAGAAGTATTCCATAAAACATTTCAACAGAAAACAAAGACTTAACACGTCAACCAAACTATGAAATAATAATATATGACCCAGAAAAAAAATGAACGAATGATCAAGCAACATCATACCCTTAAAAATACATAAAATCACAAGCAAAAAATAAAGTATATTCATTAGAAAAACTCTTTATTCTAAGCGTTTTTCGTTCTTCACAGTTTTGAGTTCTATTTGAAAAAAAGAAAATACTTATACATGCATACATAAATATAAACACCTTAAAAAAACGTAAAGAACAGAGATGATAGATAATGATCAACATGAAAGATATTGTCTGTCAGTCTGTTTATTTTTATTTGTTTAGAATTCTATAGGCGAAAAAATCGAGTACATTACAGTAAAAAAAGTAGTACTAACAAGTATCAATAAAAAAAACTTAAACAAAGCAAGGCATATTATATGATACAATATAAACAGATATATATATATATATATATATATATATATATATATATATATATATATATATATATAAACCTTGATAATTCTGTTGTATTGTGTGAAATAGGAGTGAAAAACATATTAAGGAACACCGGTGATTATCATTTTGTCAATAAACAATCAAAGTGATCCTCATGACGAAAATAGAAGCTCAACTGAACAATAAAGTTCCAAGATACATAAACAGGCGCTCAAGAAAGGGTGAAAAAATCATACGATGGGTATTGTACAGACAAAAAGAAGTCAATGTAAAAAAATAAGCAGTATGTGCGAGAGAATATTACAAGTTATATAGCATGAAGCAGAAAACATCGATGCTAGTAATAAGTACTGTAAGTAAGAAAATAGAAGAGACACTTGGTAACCGCTGATGAGGATGGAATGACTAGGAAAAAAGCAGATGATATGTGTGTGTGTGTGTGTCAACAAGAACGTGCTGTTTATTGTAGAAAAAATTCAAATCAAAAGATAAATTCAAGATTAATTTCACAACAAAAGACACACAATAGTATGTATTTGTTAAACTAGTAAAGGATATTATGTATTAGTAAATTTGATCATCAGTAGTGGACTGATCGATAACAATTACAAATAAATGGTTATGTCCTAAAAATAATTGATCATAACCATGTGGATAGGCTAATCTCATCCTTTCTTTTTCTCTATAATGATAAAAATGTTCAGTTTATCCCTTTCGAAAACCAGGCACGTAAATAAATTTTCTTTTTAGTGATGTTAAAGAATGAAAGACACTATACACGCTGGCACGCATACAGGCACACACACACACAAACTCGCAAAAAAGGATCAGATTGAAGAGGAGGGACCACTTCAGAGAATAAAAAATAATCTAGAAATAACAACAAATAAAGAATATAGCTATTCATAGTAGTTAAGAGAAAAAACATGAGCAATCGTAACGAACTGTTGATAAATAACCTGTATATAGAATGAAAATCTTGAACTTCTCATTCGGTAAAATACTATTATCCTCTCCTTGCTGGAAAATATATAGGAACAAAACAAAATGGTTACCATTAAAAAAAATTAAACAACAACTACAATTCTGAAGAGTATAACAATTATGTTACAAAAATAATTTCCATTTTAAAAGAGATAAATTAGAATAATATACAGTGGAGTGTGAAAAGGAAGAAAGAGTAATGAATTGGATAATGAACATGATGTGTACAGATGGTAAGAAATAAGTGGACTTAACTATTTCTTCTTTCGAAGATGTGAAATGTAGACAACAACGGAAAATAAATGAAAAATCAAAGGAAAAAATTTATGACATAAATATTATCATTATTACAGTTTTGTAATTTATAACAATCATACAAGAAACAGTGTAATAAATAACTAATGATAGTAGTTAATACAACAGCAAAATTATACACACCTAACATCATCAACATAAATCTATAATAGAAAACCATGATTATTGGTAGGAAATTGAAATCCTCTTAATTAACAACAAGAAAGTAAATTAAAATAAATGTATAGAATCAAGATAAATACACACAAAACACAAATATGACATTCTCTCAAGGAAGGAAATATCAATGAATGGAATGATATTAATTGAACATACACAATTACGTGCAATACCAAAATGATAGTAAATTCACAGGAGAGTACACATAATCGTTCAGTGAATAAAATATTACATGGACATACAATGCATTCGAGAAAAAAGTTGGTAAACATGTTTACAAAACAAATTAATCAATAGTGTAGGCTGTACGAACTTTAATACACAACTTCACACCAGAATAAACAAACAAGTAATAGAATATTATATATATATATATATATATATATATATATATATATATATATAAAGGGGGGAATAGGCACTTGTCTATTGTTATTAATAAAAGTGAAGTTGAAAAGGATAGTGGAGAAGACAGTGTATGAACATGTTATCAACATTAAATTGCAAATAAACATTCTATTCTCTTATTCTTAAAAATAAAATAGAAAGTTTTCTAGTTTTCACTATCAAACAAATAGACGAATTTGTAAAAAATATGAAATACATTTTACTCTAGGAATAACAAGTGGATCAAAAGAAAACTGATAGAAAACGAAAAGGATATACATACATATATATGAGACACTTTGTGAAATGTGTTGTATATGCTGAATTTGAAAATATCTATTGTCAAGTTTTAAGAATATGGATAATCAATCAGTAGGAGAATTATTTTTCTGATTACGATATGGCACATTGATTATTGAATTATCCTAACAAGTTAACACAGTCGTAGTAAGTGGTAAAGAACAAAAATAACTTCGTTAGATCACGATATTTGTGTTTTCCATAGCACACTATTCACATAATGGTCCCTGTGAAAAGATAAAAAGAATCAAGAGAAAAACACAGTAAATGAACTTGTAACATGAAGAAATATCATCTACCTACGGCTATACATATATAACCAACATTTGAGAGATTGATCAGAGCGATGTTGTTTGGTAACTATCAATTACGAATAATGGAACTTCATAGTTCGTGTTATTTTTCCTGTCATAAGATTAGCAGTAAACAAGTAGAGACCATCAATTGTCAGACAGGTATTTGTCACTTTACCCTCTAATGATATGAAACAGACAGTGAGTGACATTTAACGCTAACATGATTAGTAGGAACTATTATTCAAATTTTGACTAATCTTAATAATGAGCCTATTTACAAGGAACAGATTTGTGAATTTGGCTTTGAACTACATCACCACAGGTGTATTATAAGCTCGTAATGCTACCCAGTTGTCCCATATGAAGTAGTTGGAGAGGACACCTAACTTGCAACTTAGTGATTAAAAGTTGAACGTTATGACCACTGAGCCACCGCTCCAAGAGAAGGTAGCAAATTCAAAACCATATTTTATCAATCAGATACTGAATAGGGGTAGGGTGCACTGAACTTTTACTTAAGATTTGCTCAAAGGAATAGATGATTGAATTTGAAATGATGATATAAAGTCATGTGCACAAGTCATCGAACATGTTTTATCGCAAGTGCATTAATTTTTATTAACCGGTAAGGGCTTGTATCACTGCCGGACTATCGGTTACATAAATTCCGCTTACTACTGTAAGACATCTAAAAATGAGAAATTTTACTTAGTTGAACGATGTGAAACCACGAATAATATGGTCCACAAATTATTCAATTACCCAACATATAGATTAATTGTAAACTTCTACGCTCAAGTCATGGGTTGATGTATTTATGATTTATTTATTTGAACACATAAACATTGGTACAGGGGGCACCAAATACATATTCGCTACATAATAACAATGAGGTTGTGAAGAGATAAAGAATGTAAAGTGTGTATCATAAAAAGAACACCAACGAACGGGAATTAGTGTATGAGAGTGAGATAATAATAATAACAATAGGAAAAACAGTTCAGTTAGCAAAACTACAACCAGAAAGAATTCTTCCAGTTAAAGAAGTAACGTTCATTTTCTATGAAGAAAGTAAAAGTTACAGCAGGATCGCGACTAGTCTATATTCTGAACCATGTCTGATAACGTCTCTAACCACTGTGTTGTACCATCTTTCGGACGCCAAGCAGGGAGTTGTGAAGGACGAACAGAAGCCAGTACTGTACAGCATTCTTTCATACCACGACACCATGTCATACACTGATCGCTTCTCCGCTTTTTCCAACTGGTCCCAGCGTCAGCAAATAATGCACGAAGTGAAATTCTCTGGGACGATATTTGTAAGACATGTCCAAGACACCGAAGTAGATGTTTCAACATAGTGATGGAGTTTGATTTAGTGAAAAGAAGTGGCAAACCATTCACGTGACAGGAATAATTTAACCTTTGTCACTGTAACGCAGCACAACAGGGTTATGCAGTCGTGGATTAGGATGTTATGATTTGATGACCGAACATTCGATTGTTAAAATAAAGGAAAAATGTGAGGATCAGTAAGTGATATGTGATGCTGTGAAGCCACCAAGTGATGGCTATCCACGAGACTGAATTATTGACGTCATCTGTCCGTGAACTGACATCGGGGGATAGATGCGTTTTAACACAAAACAAATGTGTTAAGATATTTTAAAAGACTTTAAAATATTAATTTCGATGTTAGCTCACCAGCTAATGAAGTAACTTCGTCAACCATATATTACTATTATTATTATTATTATTATTATTATTATTATTATTATTATTATTATTATTCAGACTAGAGAAAACCAGGCTGGTTTTCGACCTGGACGTGGTTGTATTGATCAAATATTCACATTACGTCAGGTCCTAGAACATAGACACACATTCAGACGTCCCACAATGGTAGTATTTCTCGACCTTAAGGCGGCATTTGACTCTGTTGATCGTGAGGTTCTATGACAGTGTTTGTCACTGAAAGGAGTACCAAAGAAGTACGTCAACCTTATAAAGGCTCTCTACTCGAACACAACTGGTCGAGTGAGAGCTTATGGTGAACTGTCATCAGAATTGATTACCTCAAGTGGTGTTCGTCAGGGCTGTCCACTCTCTCTATTCTTGTTTAACTTTGTCGTTGACGTCCTTTTAGAGATGACACTTTCCTCATCTAAATTTCCAGGAGTTGAACTTCTACCGGGAGATCCACTTGTTGATTTAGAATATGCCGATGACATAGTTCTATTTAGTGAAGACGCTGACAGAATGCAGAGTCTGCTGACCACTCTAAGCAACAATGCAAGCCTGTTCGGCATGCGATTCTCTCCCTCGAAATGCAAAATGTTACTTCAGGATTGGGTTGCGTCGACACCCGAACTAGTGATAGGGAGTGAAGTAGTTGAGCGTGTCGACCGCTTCACTTATCTCGGAAGTCTCATCAGCCCTTGTGGTTTGGTGTGTGACGAAATCTCAGCACGGATACAAAAGGCTCGACTAGCTTTTGCCAACTTGCGTCATTTGTGGCGTAGGCGAGATATCCGTCTATCAACCAAAGGACGTGTTTACTGCGCAGCAGTTCGTTCCGTCCTACTTTATGGCAGTGAAACATGGCCGGTAAGAGTAGAGGATATTCGTAGGTTACTAGTATTTGACCATAGATGTCTTCGAAGCATTGCTCGTATATCCTGGGACCACCGAGTAAGTAACTCAGTTGTTAGGAAACGGGTTCTAGGTAAGGATGGAAAATCAATTGAGGAAGTAGTGAAACTCAATCATTTGAGATGGCTGGGACATGTGTTGCGCATGCCCGACCACCGACTGCCTCGACGTGCCATGTCTTATGGTGTAGGAGTAGGTTGGAAGAAAGCTAGGGGCGGCCAGACCAAAACGTGGCACAAATCCATGAAGTCACTGACAAGTGGACTGAGCCATGTTGGTAGGTGTAGACTACCTGGTTGGGGACCGCGAGAAGATAGCAACCGATGGTTAGAGACCTTGAATGACATGGCTCAAAATCGTTTGCAATGGCGCAGGTGCATCCACTCTTTGTGTTCTCTCAAACTCTAATCTTCTGAATTCTTCATGTCCTTTATTTTCTTTCCCAATTTATTCCACTGGACTATACTCCTTTAATAACATCATCAAACCTTAATGTCCCCTATCTCTACTTATACTTTCAGTACCTCTACCACTATGGGATTTGAATCGATAACTGAATCTCTGTGCTAATGTGGTATGGCAACTCGAACTGATGTACGTACGTACGAAGTTCCACGTTGTTACTGACTGACTGACTGATTATTATTATTATTATTATTATTATAAGCTTTATTCAACATTATATTTGTGGTACACTATTCAATTCTCAACATAAAGTATTTCAACAAGTTTCTTTTTTCTTATATCTTGATCGATCCTGACGATAAATATTGAGTGATGGCCAGTTAGATGTTAGGAGTTCGATAATCGACATCTGAATAATGTTCATTCGTTTCAATGCATATTGCAAGCCACCATGATGTCGCTGGTTGTACCTTTTTGTAATCCGTACAGCGAAAGGTTGTAAACTTTTCGTAAACGCGCCTGAATAGGTTGTGAGCTCAATAGACATAATAGTGTGTTAAAACAAACAAGAAAACAGATAACTTGACGAAATATCTAGATGGGAGGAACAGGTAGCCCAGATATTCAAGCAGGCCGCCGATGATGCCTGTATAAGGTAGGGTTGACCTTGAATATCAGACCTAATAGTAACAATCGTCACAATGATGATAATCAAAACAGAAACAATTAAGTCGTAGATCCCATGTTTTCATTCAACCAGTGGCTTTTGACGCCCGCCATTATGAAGTCATTCAATATGAATACATACACAATGATCTGTGAGCAACAATTACTTCTGTGACTACTCACATCAAAATTTGGAAAGCAAGGCAAGCTTCGAAACTTGTAAACGCGTGTATAACTTTGAACCAACAGAATAAGTAGAGAAAGCACATAAAATTAACTAGTAGGAGATATGCCAAGAAAATAATGAAAACTCAGTAGTTAGTATGAAACTATATTCACTATACAAAAAAGATGGAAGTTACTGGTTTCCCAAATTGAATATGTTAGGATGGGTGTGAATCTATGATTGGCATTCAGAGGTGGAATGATTTAACCACTGGGACACAGAAGATGCATCATAACAATTTAAACTGTAACCCCTAGTGGAAATAGTGAAGTTAAACAAACAAAAACAATGTCAAGGAAAACTACTCACAGACGATGGGTTATCCAACGACGAGTTCATATGATCCATTGAGTCTGAAATGAAATGTGAATTTTGTGGATTGGGTATAAATTGTTGACAGCTATCCGGATGTTGATCAATATTAGATGGATTAGATTCTGTTGAATATCCAACTACATTAGAATTGTTGATTCCTTGTGAAATTATAGTTTCTTGTTGATTTCCTACATAAAACGAATTTTTGTCTACAGACCAATTCCCAATAACTCCCATGTTCGAATGTCTAATATTTGCTTGGATAGTTGAATTGGATTGTGAAGTGGAATAACGCCTATCACCAATAAGGTAGTTTTCATTTTGTGACATGTCACGATAAACAGATTGAGATGGTGTATACTGGGAATGAGGTGAAAAAACATGACTTGAACATGATTGTGAATAACAAGCAGAATTTGAGAAATATTGTGAAGCTGAAGGAGGTTGATTTGAAAAATAAGATCCATGATTTTGCATACGGTTTGATGAATTTATACACGAATTGGAATCTTCTGATCTAACACGTGAAATGGAATGTATGGATGGTTGCCTAACTGGATACATCGGGGATGTTATTTGCATATTAGGAGTATAGTTTGACGAAGGATATGAACTATAAGGGTTAAATAAATGTTGTTCTTGAGTAGGCCAACGTTTACTAACCGGCTGTTGCTAAGATAAATATAACACAGGAGATTAAAAAATTAGCATTATGCATATATTCTATTTTGAAAAAATCATTTGAAAACAAAAGACTTCCCTTACATGTGTGAGTTAGCCATCAAGATAAAATTAGACAGATTAATTATAAAAACTGAAGTAGTTAGGATGGTGTTTTAACCAGAGAATTACTAACATTGGTTGTAACATGGACTCGTCAGTTGATCATAAAATTCATTCTTGACGTGAAAAACAGATTAAACACTCACATAATTAATATTTAAATGACCACAGAACAAATTAGAAAATTTCTAAAACTGGTTCCCTATTAGTAGAGAGAAGTTAATTGTCTCTTGTCATAATAATTCGTCGAATTTGCGGTCCTGATAAATATGCACGAAGAATTAACTCTTATGTAAAAATATTTACCGAAAATGAATATCCACAAAGATTCGCTAACAAGAACATAGAGCATAAATCACCAAAAGAATCGATAAAATTCGAGAAAATATACGTTTGTGGTTATCATAATTGCGCAAACCCCGACCAAGTAGTCGGTGCCTACTTACATAGTTCAGCCAATCAATGACTTTACGAACTGACGTTTTGGTCTAGGTGCCTTTAACTTTCCACTAACTTACATCAACACCAGTCATCATTGGGGTTCTAGGAAGCTAGCTATTTCGGCCGTTTCTTACGCGTTCTGTTTACGAGGGTCCGAGAACATTGACCAATATGGTTGAAAGGCTATGGATCCATAAGTAAGTCATTATTACTTTTTCAAATAACTGACCATAGTGCACATAAGTTGATAAGGTGTCCAAAACACTGATATACCTTATCAAAGGGAAACCGACAGAATAAATATCACTTTATTTACGATATAACCGTACAAAACTCAAAGATATACAGTGTTTCACAATCGGTTAACATAACAAATTACTTGGAGTCATTTAAATGCAGATGAAACAAAATGTATTCTCTCATTTAAGTACAAACAATCATGATTGAGTGCAGAATATTTCAAGATAGAAGCGTAAGAAACATTTAACCAGGTAATATACTAATTTATTATTTAGTATTTATTTTAACACATAGGTATTGGTACATGGAGGCACCAAATACATATGCGCCACACGAATCTCAATTGATTCGTGTGAGGGCTGTGATACTGCCCGGGTGCCCAAACCGAAGCAGGAATATACTAATAATGACAGACAATCCTTGCTATAAAAAAATTCACGTACAGTTTACATAGAATAGATGGAATGTAGCTAGCGGTAGAATCCAGGATGAGCCTTCCCTCCTATTTGGGACTTATCGGCTGGATGTACCAGCATCACCGAGTTGATGATTACTTCGAGATTCAAACACAGTACCTTTCGCCTCAAATGCCAAGGCGTTGTTCACTTAGCTACTGAGTCCAGATAGCTACTAAGACTGATCAAAAAGTCTATCAAAATATCAACAACAGGATGATCCAAATCATTAAAAATTAATTTTACTTACAGTTGTTTGAAAAGTTCTATCACAAGGGAGATTGTCTGTATCAGGAAAGTTAACATACTTTGGAGTAGGACAAGTGGAATTTCGCAGAGATAGTTGATCTGAATGTCGAAGATTATGCGTAGATTTATTTTCAATATCACTAAGTATAGAATCAGTAACTCGCGTTGATATCGAGCTGTTTTGTGAATAAGGAATTGAATTTTCAAAAGGATATGATTCATGTGCATTAAAAACCATGTTGCGGCATGATATAGGAGGATTGTTAGGCATTTGTTCGTAAGGGCCTATTTGTATGTAAAAGAAATTTAAAAGATGTTGATAAATTGAAATGCTGAGCTAAACTAAACAACTGCAAAAGATTATTTTATAAAGTTGAAATAAACTTCACTCGAGTTATTTTTCAGCTATTTTTTATTAAGAAACTAATGTATGAACGAAGAATATTCTTTTCAAAAAATTCTCTTTCGGTCCTACAACTATATATCCGAATTAATAATTTGAAAAGTGGACAGGTTTACGATGAAGTGCGTTGTTTAAAGTCATAGGATTTCAATTTAGGATTGTTAATGTTAAGATGACTCATATGGAACGTTAACCTGAATCAGCTTATATGTTAAGTGAAATTGTAAGGTTCATGATCAGAAAAAATATGGGTCAGATAAAATGAGAGAAATAATCTTGCAATTACAAATTCGATCAAATGTCCAGTCGAAAAGTACAATGTGTAAAAAGTTAGTAAAACGTAAGAAAGCGGGATGAATGCGAAATGAATGTATCATGTACTCGGGAGACTAATAGTAATGTTAAACCAATAATAATAATAATAATACGAAGATATGTAAATAAAGATAAGAGACCATTATATTTTAGTAAATTGAAAATTCCCATTGTGAAAATTAGAACAACACATATAAGCGAACAATTGTTTTCAATTAGATCATCATCAGGCTTTACTCTAATATACAGTAATATTTATACGAAAATGTTAAACCAATCAAGGCAATTTTGGATCAGTAATTACAATGAAATAGGATAAGTCATCACACATAATAGATAAAAGTACAAGTTGACGTCACACTAAGCAGACGATGTGATGGCACATTAAGTAGAAGCGTGTATAGAAAAAGCCCCTCTACCTGCCAATATACCCACTTCTGCAGTTTCACACCTATCCGCTACAAGAGAAATTTGGTTAGATGTCTCACAAGCAGAGCAAAAAAGATTTGTACAGGTGATACTTTAAGTCAGGAGCTTGAATTTATTAACAACTCACTGACCGAGATCGGCTACCCCGGTGCTTTCATTAAGAAGTACATGTATGATATAATAAAGAAGTCGGAGATTTCGACTGTTCGTAAGAAACCTTTATACATGAAACTACAATTCGACGGGGATGTGGCTAGTGATACTCTGAAATATAGGTTAACGAAAGTAATCAACAGAACATTTTACGCAGCCAATCTTGCGTTGACTTTCTCTTGTCGACCAGCGATGTCTACTCAAACGAAGGGTAAGCTACCTTAGTTGGCCTCCTCAATGTGCATTTACAGATTCAGCTGCTCCTGTGTAGAGTTATATCAGGCGTACTACCAGACAACCTAACCAGCGAATGAGTGAACATCTACCAACTTGGTTCATAAACGGCCAGATAAAAACAGTACGCAGTTCAATCCTGGCGCATCTTATTGATAGTGGTCATACGGTAGATAAATCGAAATCATTTCGAGTGATCTATCGTATACCCCCATCATTTCCCAATGGAGTTCGTTCCCGTCTCCTACATATAGCTGAAGCCATAGGAATCCGTACATATAACCCCAATCTATGTGTACAGAAGAAATTTATAACGCCCCTTCCATGGCCAGTGATAACTTAACTAACGATTAATTTTTATTTCTTTTTTTTTATTTCTTTATTATTACTATTATTATTAATATTCTATCACTAACCTTATTTACTTATCCATTATTTGTTTGGAATTATTCGCCTCTTTACATTTGCATTCTTCACTATCTAATTATTTACACACTTCTTATTACGTAATGATTTTAATGTTTTGTGATAACTACTCCATTTACCCATGTTTGACCTACTATTTCCAATGTTTAACTATTGATAAGACTTTTGTTATCGTATTTTATTATTCCTACCTACTATCAGTACACCTGTCTTCCTACTATCAACTTGTACTTTTATCTATTATGTGTGATGACTTATCCTATTTCATTGTAATTACTGATCCAAAATTGCCTTGATTGGTTTAACATTTTCGTATAAATATTACTGTATATTAGAGTAAAGCCTGATGATGATCTAATTGAAAACAATTGTTCGCTTATATGTGTTGTTCTAATTTTTACTATTATATTTATTAGAATGGGTGTTTGTGGAGATTGTAGGGATTTTAGTAGTTGAATCCATGGGTCGATGGAAGCTAGAAGCAGTGACCAGTGGAGTCCAATCCGTATCAGGTGTGAGACAGTCATTCAACTCAGATAATGGATGAAGGGTTGTACAAGATCACCGATCAATCGAAGTTAGATATTAACACCGTTGGATGCCTCCTCAGGAGTCGAGGTTAAGCGTTTGCGCGAGAGAACCGAAGGTCCTGGGCTCGAGTCCCGTATGTAGGATCACGGATGCGCACTGCTGGAGTCCCATACTAGGACGAAACGGCCGTCTAGTGTTTCCACGTTTTTAGTGGTTGTTATATTTCTCTCTTACGGTTATAACACAGCTGTTCCTATTGCTTAGTATTCTCGGACACCAATTCACTCGACAAGTCCGCAAATCAGAACACGGTTGAACAGGAAAGAGATTATATTCCAAATAACAAGGTTAAATGGAAGTAAGAAGCACAATAGGAAAACCGTTAGTATATTTCTAGAGTATTCTCCAAGTATCGACAAACGCTGATTGGACAAGAATTAGCCAATCAGCGTGCGCCAAAGCAATCGTGCATTGAACATGCTTTAATCCAATCTATGTCCAGCTAACAGTGGTAGTCTAGCTTACATCGACTCATAGATTCAACTATTAAAATCACAATTACATTTGATTAAGGAAGGTCGTAAGTACATTAGTCAAATTAGGTCATTCAGTAGCTAACATTATTATTGATTAATTGGCCCTGAAGTTGAATAGGGCAAGAGAAGCAGTTGAAGATATCTCATTAGTACACATATTTTCGGTTTCTTAATCCGAATGGCTACTGCTTTCGTCGTTTGAAGGACACATATATGTATCGGTCAAAGTTGCCATAACCTCGTTAACACAACAAGATAAACATCAAATTCATTGAAGCAGTTAGTTCAATGGTAGAAGCATATAAAAAACTTTTGAGTAATAAGTATTGCGTCAATCACATTCAATGTCAGTCAGTCAGTCAGCTGCAACGTAGGACCAGGCACGTATATGCATCGGTCCAAGTTGCCATACCGCATTAGCACAACAAGATGAACACCGGATTCATAGGAGTAGTTAATTCAGTGGTGGTAATATAAAGAAGAAAGATTGTGTATAAGGAGATAGTAAAGGAAGAAAGAATTAGTTCCTAGACAGATATGAAGCGATTTTAATCTCTTAATTTAAGGAAGACAGAGAGTGTATACACCGACGCCATCACATTCAATGCGTAGGAGTTGGTTCATCTTCTAGGGACTAACAATAAGTAGGTGACGTTCGCTTGAGCATGACCTAGTCATTGGATCACCACTCTTCTGAAGTGAATACATGAGTGAAATGCAAGAACTTTAATCAGTAAACGGCATCGAAGTACAAATGCAACCCAAGGTAAGAGCAAAAGTATACTTAGGATAATTGTACGGAAAAAACCGTTTGTCATACGTAGTACCAATAGTTTAGGTTCGGCAGGTATATCTGACACATAAATAACAAACTAAGAAATGTGAGTGCTTCATTCAAATTAATCAGTGCCAATTATTATAAAATTAATTTATATGGTACAAATTTTTTACCCTAATTAGCACTAATGAAGGTCAGTCATAGGAATCAACTGCTGCAAGACTTGTGGAATAGCTGAGTTTACTTCGACTTGAAGTAGGCGCTGGAAATGCCTAGTGACAATCGAAGCTCTGTAGTCAAATCATTTAGCTCAGAAAACACAATGTCACCAAAAGCATTCATATCTGAGTTGAAAATCTCTGTGGAATAAAAGTCCTGACAACTTGATCATCTATCAAGTTATCTAGAATAACAGAATAGCCTCGAAAATTGTTCAAAAAGTATGCAGATCTGTAGGAACGGATCGCCGGAAAATTCACACAAGGAAAAATAAAGAACCATCAATTGATTTGTAGAGGTCTTCGAATGCTCGGAATAACCTGTAAGGTTACTGATTTTAGTACGTAGCCTCTTAAGAATACTAAGTTACCCTCATGAAGTGTGTCAGTCAGTAACAACGTAGAACTTCGTACGTACGTACGTACATCAGTTCGAGTTGCCATACCACATTAGCACAGAGATGCAGTTATCGATTCAAATCCCATAGTGGTAGAGGTGGTAAGAGTAGGTAGGTGTGTGTGTGTCAAACGTTTAGTCTCTAGATCATACTAATGAAAAATGATCAGCACAATGACTTAGAAGCATTCGGTCACAGTACATAATTTAAGTACTGAACAATTTATGACTCTGAAATCGTATTCCCAACTTACTTTTTTGATACATTTCGTAATGTACTACTTTTGACATCTCCTACATCTATCATCTGACGCCTACTTCGTTCACGTAACCTAAGGGTAATTCTTGAGCGCATTAAAAACTGACTAGCTATCGATCGTAACTTCAAAGAATCAGTCGGATAAACAGCAAATTGTCACGTTTCATTATTACTTAAAAAAATAAAATAAAATAACGTGTCATTTGTTTTAATAATTGAAATTTCTGACAAATACGTTAAGAATTTGATTGGTTCACTTTCGGCAAACTATACAGACTGTTCAAAACATGAGAAAATAATTATTGAATACTTACTTAATAAACTGTCGTCCTACTTCCAAGTTGGAGACATTAGGTGATACAAATGTATTATTCACATCAATTTGTCATTTTTGTTTAATGGTGGTGATACGATGCTCAATGATTTGACCTAAGAGTTAGGACTTGATTGATGAAAGAATAAGTGATCTATAAGCTGGTTTCCTTCAATTATCAACTTGATATTTTATCATGTTCATAATCTATATGTAGGCATGCTATTTTATTACACGGAAAACGTATTCACCAGGTTAAGTGATCTTATCTGTGATTCCTATTCATTCAGTGGCTTAGTTTTATAATACAGTCCTGTGAGTATCTATCACTCGGTTGCATAATATTATTGAGTTGGTCTATTGATTAGCATTCTATTCATTGATCTTAACAATTGAAACTTTAATCTGATCAATCACCAAAAACGTCCTCGTAACAATTGGCTTTCATTTTAATTACAGTTTTTAACTTGTTTAGTAATTTTCCAAGAAAGAACTGAGGTAAAACAGTGTAATCTACTCTCAAGTTCAAATATTGTCTTTTATTTCTCTAAATACTAAAGAAATGCCTTTCAAATTAAATTCCATCCGATATTAACATAAACTTATATATCCTGCCATAAATATCCTTATAATCCATTTCAACACTGTTTCTTTCCTCGTTTTTCTGCAGTTTCTTGTACTAAGTACGTATTTTGATGTCTTAAAAAAACGTCATTAACTCTCTCTCCTCACCAATTAAACACGACTGTTCAATCGCTAAAAGGAAACTGTAAATAGTTGAATATTGAAGCCGAAATGTGGAATAAGCAGACTTATACTGGCTAAACAGTTAGTTCAGAGTGAAATGGGACGAAGGTGGAGCTGATCAATTGGTTAAATGAAAATGCTATAATGTTAGTATAGTAATTTGAAATAAAAAACAAAATGCAATTGAGATGTGCTTGTACATAGTTGAGGAAATTTCAGACGTCGCATATAGAACGACAGTAGATGACTGAATTATTGTCTCTACTCTGTGAGTGAAGATGGATTATTATATTATTCTGGTGTTATTATTACGATGTGAAAAGTTTGTTGCATTACAGCACCAACAATTGAACTACACAGACAAATAATACATAACAAATATTAACACACGTATGATCGTACAAACATAAATTTTCTTTTTTCGCTACACACTGAATCTAACAAAACTTCATCTGTGTTCATACAAAATAGAAGCAAAACACTGAAAAAATCCATGGCCAAAACAGATATAGTCCAATTATTACAGAGTTCTTGTCGTAGTGCCGATAGTTAATTAAACTTAATAACATGTAAGTGTTTATGTAATATTCAACAACATAGTTAAATAATTATCGATAACTTGTTAAATGAATAAAAATGTAGTTTTGTTATTCTTTACTTATAATTAGAAATGGATATCTAGTAATATTTTAAGCAATCGACATACCTGTACGATACTTAGCATTTGGCTGCCAGTAAACCTGCTCCTGAGGGTTGGGTGGATAGTTCTTGAACGGTGTTAGTCGTGCATCAGTCTCATTAGGTCTATAGTTTTTATATTTTGGCTGAACGTACGAGGAATGATAAGTTGGCTCTGAATGTAAGGATGATGGATTGAATGAATACTGATACATCTGTTGAACTTCATTTTGCTGATAACTGAACATTGCCTGATTGGACGTTAAATCATTTGACACATAAGAATTATGACTTGAGTAAAATGGAACAGAACTTTGCTGATTCACTGACTGATCACCTGAAGATCTGTACATAAAAGAGATTTGGTTGGAAGCACTATGATCCTGTGAATATTGTAGACGGGGGTTTTCAGAATTATAAGTAGGAGATTGGGAATTTTGCACGAAGTTAGTACCTAAAATGAGGAAGATGGCTTATTAAACTTTAGATTTTAAGAACTATTGGATAAACTATGTAATGAATTACAACCTAATCCAATCTAATAAAGATTTTAAGCTGAAGCATTTAGCTTGTAGCTGTATTTAATTTTTAAGGGATACCCGCATTAATTAGATACCAAAACCATATTGATTGAAGCTCGGTCTAGGTCTGTAACTCAGTGGCTAAGGATCAAGTATTTAAACCACTGAATCATAACTGAACTGTATGATGCAACAGAAAATATATATTTTATACAATATATAGTCCCAAGAGGCGCGAAACTGAAGAGTGATCAGGTGTGTTTAGAAATGTTCTTATTACTACTATTATCACCCACTAGCTCAAAAATACCATTCCCCATAGTGAATGTGGTTATTTAAAACAATGATCTGTACAGGGTATGAAAACATTATACTAACCTTTATTCCACTGATTGTTTAAATGGTTCAAATAGCATAGTCCTCCTTTCATAGGATCGATAATTTCCAACCCACTCAAAAAACATTTGTCTCCTAGTGTTTTTTCTTAAATTTGCACTTTATTCCCTCGTATTCCACAATGATTGTTTTTTAAACATCAGCTGATATCATACGACCTAACATTTGACATATATTTTCTTATGCATTGATTATATAAACGCATTTAGTTAAGTGGTTAATGAAGGCATTGATTAATTTAAGGAGAGTTTTCATCATAGATCAGTATCAACTGTAAAGAGGGGAATCAAGTGCTAAAAATGATATAGACATTTATTATGCCCTATATATCCAACACGGTTACTTATGCCAGTATTTTAGTGCTACGACGACAACTGTTTAGATAGTACATTTTATATTCCGGTTGTTAGTTTCTACAGAAATGTCTTAAAATCCAGTGTTGGGTGAGTGTGCTGTCAATATTATGCTGATATTCTTTTAAGATGATTTTAACGATTTTCCTCCGAATGTCTTGCACTTCTCTCCATTGAGAAGTATGAGAACTTTAGATCCTAAATCATGAAGTTACTCGTACATAATTTCCCCGACAGACAACTATATCTGATCAGCACTAAATTCAAACACGAGGAACGATTATGTCAAACTTGGAGCTCATTGATACCAACCTGATGACGAATGCAGATAGATTAGTGCTACTAATTATTGGTTTAGAATGTTATATTTAAGGAGCATCTAATTTTCCAAAAATGAAATTAAATCATTCCCCAGGTGCTTAGGTATAAGCCACACACGGAGTGTGAGGGTAATAGCACTACCGAATTGCTCAGACCGACGTAAGTGGAGTGTCTTAACCACTTGGCTACCTCATTATGACGATTATGCAGTTTTGTATTTATATTTGCAAAAATAAAATAAATAATGCTCGTTTGTTGCGTACAAGTTATGCATTCAGCTTTGAGTCACATGGTTTGTGTGGGAGCTAGTGGTACTACTAGACTAAGTAAATGAAAGAATGCGAAACAGGATTAGAACACACTATCGACTGTAACTCAAATGTATTGACTATCACGCGATCGCAAGCATCCGCACATGAATAACCATGAGAAGCGGATGGCCGATAGTTCTTTTTGACTGATTCAGGTATGAAATATTCCACTATAAACTATAGGAATCAGTCAAACGGTTAGTAACGCATGAGGAAGACTGGTATGTTGATGTAGTTCTGAGAGATATCCAGACTGATGTAACCGAATGTGAGTTTATGTGAAGTAATGGGCATTGCTCAGATTACATGCTGACCAGCTACCCGAAACGTAGTAGAGTTTAGACACAATAACTAGTTTATTGTATAATGGTCAAACTATTGAATCGCAAAAGTTTAAACTTCAAATCTATATAAATATTGATCATACTAAAATTTAGTTTTTTAGTTTTATCTGCAATAAAACGTTACATACTATTCCCGAACAAATCTTCAATAGTTGTTTGTTATTTGCTGTCCTGTAGTACTTTTTTATTCTGAATATTTTTCACGTTACTTTGTGTGGTTTGGTTAAAATAGTAGTACCATTTCATAACAGCAATTGTTATCGAACAAATAATCCTGTCTCTTCAAGGTATAAAACAGAATGAATAACAAATCCGCTAGTTTATCCAAAAGGTGTACCATGTACGCACTAGTATTTTGTGTAATAATGACAGTCACCGACTCAGCTAGGACTCACCACTGAGTTATTATCATCGATTACCTGTGGTATGTTTGAAATGCTACTTTCATTCAGTTCAGTACTCTGTCTTATAATAATCTCGTTGACATTACTCGCAAAACTTTTCGGTAGTAGAGAGCTCTACAATTTTCAGGGAGACGTGACTTGTAGGAAGTTGGAATTCCAGCCACTAAATGGAATTTTGAAAAATACCGACAGTATATTAGACCAGATAGGAAAAATATATAAGAGGATACATAAAAAATTACAATCAAGCTGAAACGAATAACGTACTGTGAGGATAAGATGAATGACCATGAAAAAGTTGACTGGCATTGTTTAAGCGAACATTCTTATTTGACTTTAAAGGTAATGTTTGATGTGATCCGACGACTGATGACATTTGCGGAATGACTGGCATGCCATCAACGGTAACAGCTGCACAGTGGGGAGTACTGAAACATTTGCCTGACGGTTGGTCACGAGAATCATGATCAGAGAACTGTTCATTGATAATTTGCTCCGTAACCTGATTATCAAAAATACTAGGAGTTGAGTGATTTGTTCCAGAAGGTTGGTTAGATGGATATGAAGATGAAGACGGAGAAGAAACTTTCAAAGGAGTTGCAGCTTCTTGCTGACCCCATGTGGAAGCATTATTAGGACCGACACTGCAACTACTGCTACTGCTCCAACATTCATGTCCAGAGTCAGTGCTTGGTAGTGACGATGTGCTTGTTAGCTTACATCCAGTTATTCCGGTGGGAGATTTCGACTCAGAAACAGCTTCTTTGATAGTGACTAAAACAAGCTCTGAAGAATCAAGACCCTTAGGCGTTGAAGATGTCAACATGGGCATGTCACGTTCGAGGATTTCTTGTAAATCGGATAAGAATGCATCAGTCTCTGAGAGCATATTGCTAGTATGTACAATGTTAATCGACATATTTGCTCCAGGTACAGAACTTTTTACATTATTGGACAGAACTTTGGGATTCAAAGGAGACGTTTGAGAGGAATTCAAAGTTGCAGTAGACAATGTGGATGTCTCAACTCTAACTTCATCATCTTTATTTGGTTCAATTGGCTCACACAGAATCTGGTCCAAAACTATATTCGGAGCATTTGTCGAATCTAAAAGCTGTTCGACTACATCAGGTTCAGTCATACGATTAGTAGATGGGTCATTTGGACTAAAAGACAGTGATTTTACATTAGAATATACTGTATTTTGTGAGAAGAATTCCTGTTGTTCCTGCAAAGACTCGCTATTCACAATTTCACATGATAACTGAAGGTCATTGTCCAATGTACTTGGATCACGTTGGTGATAATGAACTGACTGGTTTGATACGGAAAGAGGATATGGAGACTGGATATGAAAATCGCTCGAAGGGTTAGTTGAACGGGCTTTGTTCACAGATAAACATTGTTCATTATGGAACGGCATGTTACTACTAGACGTATTTTCAAAGGGTCTATTAATTTGATTTGACATGCGGATAAATGAATGAGGTTTCTGTTCGAAGCTTTTAGAGGCTGGGCGGTTGAATAACATACTATCAGTATCTTCCGAGACACAACAATCTCCAGATGGATGTGAAAAACTTGACATCGGAAAAGAATATACATCACTTCCACGGCAGCCAGGATCGTGGTACGAGTTGTCACTAGCATAAGAAGGATCCAAAGGGATATAATTATTCATCTGAGAATTGTAACATTGCCGTTTTAATGGTTGACTGTCGGATAATTTTGTTACATTGAGTGCGAGACCTTCCTGTCTACTATACATCATTACAGGTTGGACAGAATTAAACGGCTCATGATGAAGTCGATTTTGGTCCAACATTTTGTACAGAGATAGTTTTTTATCTAAAAAGGAAAACATACGTAAGTACAGTAACGAATCAGATGCATAGATTCTACAAAAATTTAAGACGCCTCAAAATACATGATATTACTTTTGATGAAAAAGACGAAGTATACTTAATGAGACTAGACTACAGAACGATTAACAATTTCATCACAGAAACACGGAGATGTACTCTGGACTCATATACCTTTGAAAAAAGCGATGATCAAATGGTGCCAGAAAATAAGATTATCAAATGCTTTTTTCGAGAGAACACAACGCTCTGCAAAAGTTGGACATGTATTTCAACTGAGACATTTGTTTTGTTTTTTAGAGTGGATCATCAATTTAATTCCCTGCCAAGATTCTGTGTCGAAATTTTATTTGATATTATAATTTGGAGGAAAAACAAGAACACTGAGTAGAATCACATCAACGGATGGTTAAAAAAACTACTAGGAATACACATGCAGCTTAGCATTAGTTAAACAGCATAACTCGGAGTAACAGGATACCCGAAGACCGAGTTAAAAGTACGTGATTGACTAGCTGTAACTGAAGTACGTCACAGATTGAAGACATGGTAACAGGTAGTTTTTTATAGTTGTCTTCGAGATATAATTTTATCCAGCTACAATTACCAAGGTAAGATAACTGAGATTTAAATTTCTGGTCAACACTTCAGGACAATATACACATAGAAAAACTAGTAACAAAAATGGTTTAAAACTGTGGAACTACAACAGCTTTTAAAGTGACCAGCTTTATATGGTTGGGAGGCAAATTTGAAACTCACATCATTTATTTTAATTTCGTAGACGACTCAAAACCCTAACCTGCGAGTAGGTATTAAGTTGGTTAAAACTAAACTGATACAGTGGTTGGTTAGTAGTTCAATCACTCATCTTTGAAACAATATGTTCCAGGTTTAAACCTCATTACATACTTGAATCAAGTATATTTAGTCACAATGAAGCTTGAAAGCGTGAACATAGATTGACTAAACAGGTTTCACTAAGTTTAGCTGAGTTAGTTACAAACGTTTATTTTAGTAATTAGATTTTAATGGTATGATTCACTAAATCATTGTTCCAATTAAGTTTACAGAAAAAATATACACTGATTTACGATAGGTTGGCAATTTTAGTTACACGCTTCGCCTCAACATGCCGTGTTAATTCATAGGACTATAATAAATAAAAACTGGTTCAAGGCTCAATACAAGATAGGTATAGTTGACGGGCTATATCATATAGTTGTATTGTGTCAGGTAGCAATCAAAGCAACCAAAAACATATCAACGAGGTACATTTCCAAGCATGTGACATGTTCAAGACATTCATCTGACTTAAAATCTGTAGTACATAGCCACTCACTTCAAATACATGTACTCTTTAGGATAAACTAAATCCCAGAAATATGAGCTCGAAACATTTAAAGTCGGTGGAATTTAGATAGTTTCCAGACAGTCACGTTGTGTTAAATGATGAGGTTGTTAGGTTACTGGCCACAGGATAAAGGAATCTTAATTCAATAAGTGTGAGCGATGTAGGAAAGTGTAGTTACCTGACCAAAGGTCATCGATGTTACCATTGCTCCAGATACATTAATGGTTTATCTTCGAAACTCCGGAAATCATGTCCCAAATCTTTCGTACTGTTTTTATTAAATTTATTTACATTTTAATAGGCTAAAAGTCTAAAACTGTATGAACTGAACAGATCTTTCGTAAAGCCCTGAAAATGAACCTTAATGGGACTATAATTTATAGAAGACCTTTGAGTGACACTCAAGTGAACTTGGAACAATTCACCTATTAACTGTGTCAAATGTTATAAATTAATATGAAGAATTAGGACTACGATTTTTGAATCAGATTTTAAGGTTTTGAATTTAAGTAAAGGTTTTCATCACGAACGGATATCAGCTATAATCCCAAAGTGCTATGTATTCATATGGACGAATGAATGCGGCCAAATTCACGACTTACCATCCATAATTTGCATTGGTCAGATGTACGGAATTTTTTCGAAGTATGAAGATGTAGCTTAGTAAAGCACATCCCCTAGGATTACTTTTGTTAAAGTTATCTTATTGACTTATTATCGTTTTTCGGTGTGCCAACATAGAAATCAGAATGAATTGTTTTTACTGAAGGTTAAATTATGTGGGCTATAGTTACTACCCTTTACAAATGTACATAAATATAACATACGATTTAGGGATGAAGCTTTGCTGTGGTCCATAGGAAGTTAGTCCTAAATGAATTTCGTCAAAACAGCACACAACGTAATCGTAGACTGATACCCTGGTAATAACATACGCATCATGAAATTAACTCGCATTGAATTTTGACAAACAAATATTAAGTACTCAGACAAGCAGCACGGTGCCATATTGCTAGATATAACATAGTGGGCTGTACGTTGCACATAACTAACTGGCTGGCATGAGTCAGTACTTACAAACGCAATTTAATAACTTTGGGGATCATAACCAAGAATTTGCGAATATAGTTGGAGACGAGCATAAATATCTGACTTACCACTGTGAAACTCAGTAATATGGCGTTTGAGGTGCATACGACGTAGCCCACAAAATGAGCATCCTTCAAGTGGACATTTGAATCTCTTTATATCCCGATGTGAATCCTTTATGTGATTTGATAGATATTTAACAGACTGGAATGCCTGATCACAACCTGAAATGTCACATCGATAGGATTTAGAGGCATCATTAGGGACTAAAAGTAAGCATTATGAAACGGCAACTTACTCATTACTGTCCCTAAATTACCAACATGATCGCTTTCATAATGCTTGTTCGCCATTCTAGAGTCATAATTTGATGATATTTGACGTGAAACAATATAAGATTCTAAAAGATCAAATAATTCACTTAAAATTTACCTAGGTTTGGAGCTGGAAAACCAATGGATTGTTCAACATTTGAAAAGATTGGGAACTCTTTGGAATCAGTTGTACTAGACATGGTACAACAGGCATTCGGCTCAGCTTTGGTACATGGAATCCAAACGCGAGAGTTAATAAAACCCGACTTTAAGTCATCAGAAGCGACTGAATCACACGGAGCAGAACCGATCTCAGGAAAAACAGTGGTGTTGTTTGTTGAGAGTGCTTCATGATCACGATGAGTTGCTTCCATGTGTTTGATCACGTTACGATGGTACTGGCTTGAATACACACAGTGGTTGCACTTATATCGCTTTGAAGTAAGCGCTCCTGATGTATGTTTACGCATATGATTCCTTAAAGAAGCAACATGACGATATTGCTTACCACAAAGATTGCAATGATGAGCAGCAGAAGGAGAAGAAGGGCCCGATCCTTTCAAAAGGCCAGGTCGACGACAAACAGGACTGGAATTCGGAGATACTTTTTCCGTTTCTTTTAAGATTTGAGAATCGACTTCAGAAGTTTCGCGACGATTCAAAGGATCTACAGGAGGCATAACCATGGGAATTGAAAACATGACTGAAGGTTCTGTGTGTGGAGCGAAAGAACCAACCTCGGGATTAGAAAAATCACAGCGTAAGGTTAGGAAGTCATGAGTTTTATTAGAAGACTGGAATGAGCCAAATGAGCTTAAAGGCCCTGTATCTCTAAACTGGCAATGGGTAGCCGTACTTATAGGTGAATGTTCAGGTACTTCCTGAGTTGTCAGACGTCGCTTAACAAATGGTTCTGTAGGGGTCAAACTTCTGGAATACTCAAGAGTATTGTGCTTGTCAACAATTTTCGCAACCTCCTCGCAAGACTGATTAGCTGGATCGTCGCATTTTATGGTGCCAAGACCGTCACGTTCATTATACATCATTTTGAGTGTACTTTGAGATGGCTTGGGGACACCAATAGTTATGCTAGATTTAAACCTTGATGTTCCAGATGTTGTCATATTTACTCCGGATGAGCAGAAATTTACCTCCCACGGTTCGTGGCATTCCGAATCAACACATGAACCTCCGTCTACCTAAAAGCGACCTTGTACAAACTCTCAGCTAACTTACTTCAAATTGATTGGAGGAATCAGTAGCATAACGCTCTTTCCTGTGAAGGTCTTCACATGGATCTGAGAACAAATCATTTAATTCTTGCATACCATTATCTATAAAACAATTAAGTAAATAAAAGTATTACCATTATGTTCACCGAGTCCTAACAAAATAGGGTCGACCGTTGGTTTATCCATTAGAAGCCAATCAATTTGAGACGTTGGTAGAAACTTGTTCATCACAAGTTCATTGGAGGTATACAATCAAATGAACAAATACGAATACAAAACAAATCAACGCTACGACCTTGGAGATTTCAAAACCCCACGCGGGATTTCTTCGGACGAAGTGCCTAAACAACGCATTAAAACTCCATTACACAGAGTCAGTCTAATAGTTTAATTGACTGTAGACTATGGAAATTTTCCCCAGATTAATTAAGGAACTATCGGCGCTCACCAATGGAGTAAAGTTTTCTTTAGTCCCAGAAAAACTGTTAGGCAACTGGAAAAATACTATCATAGACAGGGTTTTATCAACAGCTACCATCTCCAACCTTGAAATTTATTTTCCTGTTAGCTTTTAGTAGCTTAATTGCTTAGCAGCTTATACCCCCGAACTCTTGAGCATATCCTAAAGTTCTTAACGGTTTCAAATCCCTTATCTTTGTCAGTATGAATCGAGACATTAGGAAATTTCTTCACACTACCTTCAACGTTAACGCCCCTGAATATTTCTAAATTACTCTTTTGTTGAAGCGCAGTGACGCTACGGCTTGACAATCACAAAATGTGAACAGTACAACTAAGAGAATTATTAATACAAACTCCGTCGATAAACGGGTAGACGATCTTCAGCTCTGCTTGGATAATTCATTCTTTTGTGTCTGTGTCTAGGTAGTTGGAATGTTTTCTTGGTTAAAAAAAAGTGTGATTCTTATGCCACTCTCTTTATAAGCTGTACAGTACGAGAATTTATCCCATAGTAAAGTAAAACTTGTAATAGTCTCTCTTAGTACCTACGAGGTTTGAGTAACCTTCATTTGAAGGAATATCCAGGGTCAGCCACTGATAAAGATTCCTGTGAAAAGCCTCATGGCTTATTGGTACGAACAGCGATAACATTTGCTCAAATCTTTGCGTGAAGTACCTCATGTTCTTCCTTGAGCTGATGTCCTCTCATGTGTCACCTGTTACTTAAATATATCAGTTTTCTATACGGGTGAAGAGAATTATGAGCAGTAAGTCACATTAGAACAAGCCCCTCGTTATTCTCCGGTACTGCATTGAGCGTAACTCGGGTACTTTTAGGCAAGATGGGTATTCTTTTTTTGGTGAGTACCTTTTTAGTTGCTCATCTTTTAAAAGGGTTCAAGAGAGCAGTATCCCTTTTAAGGAATAACGCACAAGCTTATTTCTCAGTGAGATCTTTCGACGACACTGAGAACAGCTTGAACGATTCAGAAGTCAGGCTACCATATGTTTTAGAAAGATACTTCAATGATGAATTCGCTTTATTGAATGAGGAATGTCAGTGGAAAGATACAGCCGAGTCCTTTACATTGTCCGAAAGTACAAGGTGGATAGATTATCTCTGCCGTTCCTTGATGGCATTATGCACCTCTGGGTATCAGAGTGAAATTGGTTTTCGGCTATCCAGTTTCTTATTTTATGGGAAACATCCCGGAGATATAATCTGGTCTAATTAATTCTCTTTAGATTTTAAGATTATCTGCTTAGAGGAGACTTCGATGGTGACAACGACAAAATGAGGGACAGTTCCAGAATTAAGCCATATGTCACGTTACTTTCAAAGAAAGCCAGTCTAACAGAACGGTACGCTAACAGTTTGCGATCTCTCGTCTAGGCGATTTGAGAGACACATCATCAGCACTCACATATACCCATGGAGTTTATTTTTCGAGATAGAATGAGTTGGTCTACTCTGTCGAATGTCCTAAAGGTTAATATACACAGAATAGATGTATTCTGTTGAAATAATTCAGCTATTCCAGACAGTCAACAGGTTTGTGTTACGCGATCTATCAGGTAGGAAGTTGTGTTGTGGTTGACAAAATTATGAACTTGTTGGAAAGGCTATTATGGACTTCGCCTATGAAGTGGGCAAATGGAATTTGTTTGTAATTGGATGATCCCTCCTTGTCATTCTATTTGTTTGCATGTATAATTATAGTCTACTATGATATCTGTACAGCTCTAATAATAGACCTAATCCTAAAATGGTAGATTTGTCACGATATAACTGCCGAATCTATAAGTCACATGATTGTCTACACTGGCTCATGTCTATGATAATGGCTTGAACCTTAGTCGGTGTTGGGGTAAATTTGACAATTTCCAGGAGATTTGCTTGACTGCTCATACTAATGATTTGCATGCATGGTTGTGTTGCTAAACCTTCAAATGAACTGACAAATTTTTACGATATTTTCTGAATGAGCAACTGATAGATAAATATACTGTATTCATTTGTGGTTGATGAAGATAACGAGAAAACAACACTATTTAATGATAATTATAAGACAATTTGTTGACCCATTATGTTAATAGTTTCATCAATTTTATCAATCATATTACGTGATCGTCAAGTCATGACAATTCTTTATGACGATATCCAGAAACCCTCATAATTAGTTGTAGTATTGATTGAAGATTAGCTAGATGGAAATAGGTATTGTCATTTTAGGTGATTCTGAAATATTAATAGTTTGTAGTATCAGCGGATAATAGCTGCCTGATTATATTACCAGTTGACACCCAGGAATATTTGTTTACTATACGTTAATCTTAATAGTATGCTGCGAAGTTTTGATTTTAAATGTCTGTTTGGAATATAATTTGAAAATAATAAACTTGGCCAAGAACGTTTTTTAATTGAAACGACTTGTGGAACTACAGTTAAGATTATGACGAGTTATTTTATAGATTATTTATACTAAGTTACAGTAGTTGGCGTGGTGACACTTGTAAACATAAGGCAATGGTATTTGAAACTAAGGAATGTCAAATAACCCTTAAATCTAATATGCTTCGTCTGTAAACAACGCTTTTTTACAGTATTATGTTGTAGTATAAAGCTATTAGATACATCTTATACCAAAAAGTTTTTGGGAGTAGTTAGTGTGAAATATATACGTTATTCAGTGAAAATATGTACATGTGAAGTGCAAAAACAGTAAATCGTCCAGAAAAATAGTGAAGCTCTCCTGGATTATTCTCAGGAATTAGATCATCTAATATGTCTGACGTATATAAGACCAGTTGTGACATGTAAAATGATCCAAAAGCAACGAGATTGAACACGCAGAATTCCAAGCAGTTTCACGTTGCTAGCCAATATCTATTTACGTCATTCAAATGCTACATTTTCCGGAGCTTGATATTTTAACAAGTTCATTCCGCTGAAGTATGTTAATGCTATTAAAGCTTGTCAATAAACAATCGTAGCTAATAACATAGATGACCACTTCTTAGCATCGATTGAGCTAACAAGCTATGATTATTAATCAGTACCATATTGCGATAATACACGCGAGTGTTAATCGGAGGACAAATATATTAATTAGTTAGCTTAAGCGAAAATTGATCGACAAAGTTAAAGTGAAAATGGAGATAAATAACAGGGCTGAGCCTCTTTAGTCGGACTCACTAATGCAGAATTACATGATCTACTTCGTTATTAGTACTGTTCTAATAATAGACCTAGTCCCAAGATTTTAGATTTATCATGATGTAACTACCTAATCTGTAAGATCATACATGGAAGTCACATGATTGTCTACACAGACTCGCCCTACGTAACCATCACCGATATATGATGGGGGACACATTCGGGCTGGAGATAGAACATTATATTTAATATGACTAAAAGAGGCATGTTACACAAGAATGACCACGCCTGAAATGCTGAGCCATGCCATTCGATTGAACTGAGTTTATGTTCCTGCGTTCTCAATAGTTAACCTCTTCGTGTCAATTGTTGAATATAAACCTTTTCAGTAATATATGGACCCGTTTGGTCCTTAGCGGGAACACCAGGCTCCATTTTCTGATGTGCTGAATTCTTCTGTCAAGTTCCTAATATCAGTCATCAGCCCAGAGGTATTTTTTAAGGGGAAGAAAACCACCAATGATATCTGGAAAAATTTCATTCCTAGAGCCGCCTGTGCCCTCCCAAATGTAGTCACAATATGCTACGCGCTGAACCAGTAAGCATCTCGGTAACATCGTTTAATATGAACTTTCTCGAGGTCTGAATTTGGTGGATCCGTAAAGCAAACCCAACCACTTATAGCATTAGATATCACTGCTGTTGTTTCTTTAAACTTGGGTAGTTATCACATGGCACATTCGCCAACCAAAATACGACCTATTCAATTCTATTACTGTGCCAGACCAATTACGTTCGACCGAAATGAGTAGCCTCGCGACTTTACTGGCCCTTTGATCTCCTAGCCCTTCCAGTTGAGTCTATAACGCCAATAACGGCTTCCTCTATGTAAATCATATATTTCAAACCAACTTTTTTTAACTTAGCCAAACAGACCGCATCACACTAAAAAATAGAAAATAACATTTATACAAGACCAAGCTAGAAGGTGACTGTGAACGTGGGAGACTGTAATCAATAAACTGAACATAACTTAAGGACAGTAAATCGTATAATAATAGTCTACAAATCAAAATTAAGCTTACAATAAGGGAAATATAGTAATACAAAGTCTAGTTACTGAACAGGTGTGTAGTAGGAGTATAAATATATTAATATTTCATTAAAAGTTCCCAGAGGTCGCCCGTAATTTAACCTTCACTTGCATATAACAATTACAAATAAGCAAAGAGGTCGTCGAAAGAAAATTCACCGCCTGGAAAATCACTGGTAAGTCAAGTTCTATAGAAATTGATTATATGTAGGGGATTTTCTTTCATTGGCTTTCCAACCTCTCGAAACTTAGATCACAGCCCTCCCACATAATATCGGGGAACGAATGATTTTTGAATAAAACATATACAGCTTGTGTCATATATGAGAGGTATTACCAAGTAGCAAGACTTTAGTGGCCAGGTCTTCTCGGGTTTTTAGAGCGGTAAGGTTGAACTGATTGTTATGAGTTGCCACACATAAGCTCGAATCGTAGGAAAAATCCGAAAAGTATTTTATGTTGAACTCACTGTTGAATAACTTTTTAATGAGCTACGGATTGGCTGGAGAATTGCAT